TGAGGACGTGATGGGACAAGCGAGACTGCTCATCCACCATGTGGCTGGACGCGGCGGAATCAATGTAGCAGGCGGAATCATCAACGACCTGCGGTTTCTCTTTGTCCACCTGAAACACGCTGCTGAACGCAACGAGCTCGGTGTCCTCAGGCGCCTCCTCCGTCTGAGAATATCCGTTGGCAGCAGGGTCATAGACCACCGCTGCAGCAGGTGTGTCCAGTACCTGCGGGTCATACACAACGCGTGCATCCTGCAGCGTCGGCACCGGCGCGTCTTGCACCAGCGTGTCACCAGCAGCGCGCTCCTCTGGCTGCGCCGCAGCAGGCGCATCCTGCACCTGCACGTCTTTTCCGAAAGAGATGGCGTAGTCCTCCAGCACATCGCCTTCAGTCTCCACCCGCGTGAACCATGCCTGAGTGGTGGAGTCTTGAGTGTGGTGAGTATCAGCCTGTTCAGTGGCTTCCTCCGCCTCGTGCCTCAGGCGGAGCGGGCAGTTGTGCCACCCGTGCTCTGTCGAATTATGACAGTAGCGGCAGCGCCCTTTTCGGTTCCGACCGGTGTCCTGGCCCTTACCTCGGCCACCGGAGGCGTTGTTGCCGCGATAATTCCCGCGAGCACCTTGCGCATTTTCCGCGCTGCCGCCTCCAGCGTTGCCGGCCGATCCGCCGCCGCTGCTCTAGTTCCCATTCGACGAGCCGTTCGTCGAACCGTTTGTAGTTCTGCCGCCATTTCCTCGGCGACCACCACGACCACCACGGCCGCCGTGCTTGCGGAAGCCACGTGCCCCTCCGTGCGTGACAGTGTTCAACGCACGGCCGTGGCTGCCCGACCCATCGTCTTGGTCGAGCACTTTTCCGCGAATTTGCATTGCGTGGTAGAGTGTGGCACGACGTGCGATATCGTCGAAGCCTAGCGCACCGCTACCAACAGTGGGCGACTCTACCAACAGTACAGTCTTGAACGAGCCGTATTGCTTGTCGGGCAGGGCCTTTAGGATGGCATGTGCTTGCCGTTGTTTCACGACTGTGTCTCCGAGTTTGCCGAGTTCGTGAAAGATGCGGCGCAATTGTCGGATTGCGCGAGCCGGATCGTACTTGTCAGCAGCGGTGACCGCGGCGGCGGCCAACTCATCGTGTAGCTGCTGCATTCTGAAAGTCCCATCGACACGGTACTTTTGCTCGAGCGCTACAAAAGCACTTCGACCGTCACCGAACTCCTCGTCCCCGACAGGCCCAAACGACTGCACTACCTGCGAAGCCGGGCTCGAGTATCCTTCCGGGCAGTCCGACGTAGCCAGCAGAAGCCGCGTGTAGAGTTTGCCATTCTTTTCTTGGAACTTTTGTAGCTTCCTCTCGTACGTCGCGGTCGCTGCGGCGTCGGCATCCTCCGCCACCGTGGGAGCCTTCTCCGCTCCAGACATGACCCGACCTAGGTCTGCCTCGTACATCAGCGCACGGAAAAGCGAGACCCAACCGACAAACTGGCCGGGTTCTCCGCTGAACGCGACATATCCGCGCTGCAGATGATTTGACGACTGCTGTTTGTTGCGCTGATGACGCCATTTGACTCGAGATGATTCCCTTCCTCGCTATACGTGGCTCAAAACCTGTTGGGCGGTACCACAGCTGTAGTACGCTGGTTGGCGTATGTGGTAGAGGCTTGGTAGAGAAAACAAAAAGAGTGATTTATTATCCACACACAGACGCCTGGACTGTCTGCACCTGACGGTTACAGTAAAACAGAACGCCTTCACAATACCGTATCAAACACATACAGCAGAATAGAGTCGGTCTTGCACAGCAAACACCCCAACANNNCGTAGCAGCAGAACCAAACCGACACACACGTACGTGTCCCGCCGCAAAGAGAGGACAAACCGGGTGTGAACGAGTGACTTCGGGGTTGGTGCAAGGAAACAAGACGCGACAAGTGTTCACCTAATTAGGAGTAGGCTTGGGCACTCGTTTTTTTTGCAGAACGTCGCCAATTGGCGCAGTTATCGATGAAACGGAGTGTGAATAGAGTACATATCGGCACCGAACGCAGCGACGCGGGCACGAAATGAGAAACGCTTGGATGCGGAATGATGGCCTTGTTACGCTACAGCTTGTGCACTTTTCCGCACCGAAAACGATCCTCAAACGGCTTGTTTATCGGTGCAAAGGTGGTGCGAACACAC